CACCCACTTTACAATTACATAAATGGGGTGAAATTTGGGTTAGAGTCGGATTTGAAATTGTCCATCGCAGGTCAGTTATGGGAGAAGTCCTGTTCAGCCATCAGAGCTCCAGTGCAAAATGCTTTCCCATTACATACAGACTTATAAACCAGCCTGCTCTATAAAATGTAGACAGGAGAGCTTCGTAGTGTTAACCTCTTGAACTCTAATTTTATTATTCAGTTATTAATGGTAATAGGGCCATATCCTACATAGCCTGCATCCTACATTTTTCTTGTGTGTTCCACTTCTGACATTTGTTTGGATTTATGTACCAAAAAAGTTGGTTAATTATAGTTTACATGGCCATTTTCCCATGTCTCTTTATCCCTTAGGATTATGCAGGCTATTTTTGTTACTGTGCCTTTAAGACCGATATATGTAAATGATCTTTAATCTTATTGGCTGCCCTGTCTCGCGCCACTTTTTTTTCAGTCAGTGCTGGCTGACACACTCCTTATAACTTCACCACGAATGAGAAAGCACAACTGCTATTATCCTGAATAGGCAGATATATGTTAAATCAATTTTGTGACATCACAAAAACAACAAATTAATTATTCATTATTCACCTACCACTAATTATTCAGTAACCTTGTTAAACCGCTATGTAGGTTGTGTAGTTACAAAAGTGAGGAACTGAAGTCTTGAGCTGCTGATGAGTCCTTAGAGTTTAAGGGGTTAATGAACCTTCAGTCATGTTTATTATAGCTTTTCCATATCACCACATGCTTTGGCAAGTTCACACAAGTCTAAATGGCCAGAGCTGTAAGTGGCAGAATGAGAGCTATCATACGAGTCCCTCCAGAGTGCCCCTTGCCCCTGCTGCTGTTCTAGCTCGACTAAATGGTTTCCCCAGACATGAGCAGGTGCTGGATGTAGAAGCAGTGGCTGAATGGACCATCTCAGGCCTGACCATGTGATTTAGGGAAGGCTGTGGGAGCCGCACGCGTCCGGTCAGGGCGGGAGGCCAGGGGACTCCTGGATTCAGGAAGTCTCTGAGTGCTTTCAGGATGGAGCTGTCAGCTGATCCCTCAAGGGAGGGGAAGGGAAAGGGAAGCTGGCAGGTGTGTATGTGTGGGTGGAGGGTATCAGCATAAAGTTAACGGTGACATTGGGATGGTCTGTTTTTGAGATAAAAAGCACCCCCCCTCCCCACCTTCCTTGGCCTGATGTTCTTCATCTTTGAGCTGAACTGCAGCTGTGAAGAGAATGTAGAGAAAAGAGAGAAGAAAGAGCACAACATCGTAGTAATGGGTTTGTTGTTGGCAAAGAAGTTAACCTAATTAAATTCAAGCTGACTCCAGACTTGTGTCAGCAGGGATGCTGGATACATCTGAAAGTGGCTGCATATCTCTGTGTGAACTGCTGGATTTAAGTGCTTGTATCTCTGTGTTTGTCAGGGACAAATTGTAGGTGTGGGTATTTTTTCCCCATATAGTTTCCGATCCCTGTTCAGCTGGCTGACCTTTCATCTTCCCTTCCTCTCACTGTCACCTGGGCTGCAGCACAGTATGTCTCACTCAGAGGGCCAGAGGACAAAATGAGTTTACACACTGTGTCGAAGTAAAGGGAGTGGGCTAATACATGTATACAGGACCAGTTAAAACAGAGGTTCCCAGTCCCAGTCCTGGCGACCCCACACTGTGCACAATTTTGTGCTTTTCCCTCATCAAGAACTCATGTGCTGGGTCTGAGGTGCTAGATGTTTCATGACTGTCTTCAGCATAGTCATCTACAGTGGAGTCCAAAAGTCTGAGGTCACATTGGAACTCTGGTATTTTTTAATTTAAACCTGGAAATAAACCACAGAAAGCTTTAGAATCTTGAAAAAATGTGAAAAAAGACAATTAAAATATTTGAAATTCTGCACCATTTTTAGGTCACTGTTCAAACTGAAGCAGATTGGTGGCTTTGACCATGTTAAGGCCTTTGTACACAAAGGTCAGATTCCTTTCATTCATTGTTCCAGTGGAGCACATGTTCAGACAACTCTCAGGTGGATCTGATCTACTGATCAGAGGCTTTTACACAAACCTATGGAGTCAAGCTGGTATTGGCTCCATAAGGTTGAAATTCATGTAAACATTCAGAGATTTGTAATGAAAAACCTTGTATTAAATTAGAAAGGAACGTAAAATTGAATCATTTTCTTCAGTGGTCTTAGACTTTTGGACACCACTGTTCTGACAAAAAATGACAAATTTTAGATTTTAAGTAGTAGCCCACCGTCCCTTAAACATTCGGCTCTAATGGAACACAATAGATACATCATCAAGTATCAATTTGAAATATCAGTCAAGTCTAGACATCTGTCCAACACTGATAATCTTCTGAAGCAATTATATGTTGATACAGTTGTGAATCCGATATTATTGTGCATCCTTACTAGTTAGATAACATTTATATGATGATAAGAGATTTATTGAGAATAGTAACTGAGTGTTTTTGTGTTACCAGAAATGAAACCTTCACAGTGCTTTGAATGACTGTGAAGTAGTGCCATCAACCATGTCTTCCTTCATGGCAGCCTTCAGAGTTATGTAGCTGTGCTTGGCCGCAAATTAATTAGAAGAAGATATCTGCAGACACTTACATCTCAACAACAAATTCAGAGTTTGTGACATTTTTCATGCTGTGTGAAGGCTGTTGTCCCATTGTCTTAATTTCCATCCCTTGTACTAAACATTTGGCTTCTATTGGATATTTGTGTGCTTTGTGCTTAGAAAGCATCTCAGCATGAGCAAATGCATGCAGTTTAAAGAGTTCTACTGCAGCCTCACATGATGTGGTGGCTTTGTTTTTTAGTGCGTGCTGCTGCAGCAGGCCAGGTTAGCACAGGCCTCTCCCATTCTCTCCTGCAATAATGGTGTTTAGGAAACAGAGCGGACAGGAAAGGCAGACACAGTGAGGAAGAATAGAGGGATATCCCTTCACTGCACTCCCTCCTTTTCCCTTTGGACCAGCTGGAGCGAGGGGGAAAGGGTGAATGGGAGGGGCTGGCTGAACTTTTCTCCTGACACACATACACAACAGACACGACATGGGCCTTTTATATTGAAATGTGGACCCACCACTACACGCATATTGTTGCTGGAACAAACTGTAATCTGTAAAATCCTAACTTTTCAGGAGAAGGAAAACATGTTCTTGTTTTTTTGTTCTCTGAGGTTTCCTAATAAGGCATGTGTGGTTTATGTACCAAAACATAGTCATAATTCATTTTTACATGACCATTTTCCAACCTCTCTTTATCCATTAGGGTTAAACAGTCTGTTTTTGTTACTGAGCCTTTAAGACTGATCTGATTGGCTGCCCTGCATTGTGCTTCATTCACAAAGCAGTCTAGGCTGAAACACTCCTTGTAACTTCAGTGTGAATGGGTGGAGCTACACTGCTATAGGCTGAATATGTGGATTTATGTAAATGCATTGTTTTTTGTGACATCTCAAAAAACAGTGAATTCAAAATGGGCTGTTTTTGTAGCTTAGTTTTCAGATGTGGACTACATGGACTGGAGAGTGAAGGGAAGTTTTGAAACTTTAACAATGTTTACGTGCCACATCAAACTCTTTTATTTCAAAATGGTGAGGAAAATTCAGTTTTCCAGTGTATGCTAATGAATGGGGTTTTATTTCGGACCATATGTTCATGCAATGTAAAAAAAATAATAATAACAATAATAATAACCTGCCATTATGACTTTCTGACCTGCCAACAACCATATAAGTATGAATCTACGAACACATGGACCTTCCTTTCTCTTCTGAGAAAAAAATAAATACTGTTAACACTCTCAACAAGCACTATAAGCTCCACACAGCATCAAGCTCAGACTTACTGATGTCTTTAATTGCTGAGTGTTATTTAAAATCATGGGGGACCTTTTTCTTAATTAACATATAGATTGCATAGATCAGGTCGATAAAGTATTAAAAGAACACTCAGTCTGGATTCGCTCTTAAAACTGTTTATGCAGATGTGTGGTCCGGCTTCACAGTCGTACCCTAATAGCTGGTGTGTCCTACTGGTCTCGATAACTACAGTGCTACTGTAGGTCTGATCAGACGGAGGAAATCTTGGCTGAGCTTTACTGCATGAGGGCCCAGACTGATCTTTACAGCTTAAGACCCCATTTTAATTACACTTGGCTGGAGAGGAAAGTAATGCTACCAAGTCATTATTTCCAGGGTCACCAGAGTAGCGATTGTTTCTTGATACATCAAAGCCATGGTGGGGAGGAAGTGGGTTGGCTGGAGCCAGGAGGTTCTTTATTTAACCATCAGAAACCCAAGCGCTGATTTGGCTCTTGGGGGTTTTTTGGCTTTTGGTGCATGCAATAAGTTTTATGCATTTAAATGCAACTGTAGGTTTCCATGATAACAAAATTTCATCACACTGTTTTCTAAAGTCTACAACTGCATGATGATTACTCAAAACAATGTTTTATTAATGTTAGGCAAATTTAACTTACTAAAGCGGAATACTGAATTACTGATCCTCTGATTTTTCAAAATTTCTGAGATGTAAACAAAGTCCTTCAGAGTGGTTAGATGTTAAGTAATTGATTGTGGAAAAAACTTACCAAGATTTTTTACCAAGAATTGTTGATAGATAGCAGGGGTTGTGACATTTACAACACAAATATATGCTATATCTATCTATCTATCTATCTATCTATCTCTCTCTCTCTCTCTCTACACATGTGCAGAAGTGTGTTCTTTGTAGAGGAAGTGTTAACATATTTACACTTAGAAAAACAACAAAGCATATCATTTGACTGGGGTGCCAAGACTTTGCATTCAAGATGTTTTCTTAAACTTCTATTTCATTACTTGGTCAATGTGATTCTTTCAGTTTTAAAATTATTTATTTTACCTCGTTTTATTTTGCGATCACTGTGTTCCTGCCTTCATTGTACAGATAGTTTGTCTTATGTTTAGTTGTGCCTGTTTTTCCAGGTGCTACCAGGGACATTGGCTCTGCTCTGACCAGAATGTGCATGCGCCATCGCAGCATTGAGGCCAAACTGCGACACTTCACCAAGTGAGTGATCAATGCAATCATGTTCTTATTACTGTCATCCCTGCCTCCCTTCCAATTAAGCTCGGGAGGAAAGTCGCTGGCCATGCCAGACATTGATTTTCCACTGTCCGGATGACCTTACACTTCCATCGACCCGTCCACTGCTTTAAGGCTCTGATGGGTTATTTTTGCAGTGAGTGAGTTTACACTCAGATTACTGAGAGAGTGCTTATAGACATTGACCGTGCTTTCATATTCACATTCCTTATGCATTGTTCTCTATTGATGCTATTATGTCACGATTCACATTCCTTATGCATTGTTCTAGTGACGCTATTATGTCTTTCCTGTTCATCCAGTGCTCTTATGGAGAAACTGATCACACCACTCCAGGACAAGATAGAGGAGTGGAAGAAGACTGCTGCCCTTCTAGATAAAGACCATGCCAAAGGTATGACTGATGTCTGAAGGTAGTTGTTAGGAAATAAATTATAATATATCGTTGCATCTTTAGTAAAGAAAATGGCTCTATATAGAACCATTAACACTCAAAGAACCCTTTGCATGATTAAAGGGTTTCTTTTGCGTCATGAAAGGGTTTTTTCAGATTGATGGATAATGTTTTATATGGATCTATATAGAACCTTTTTGAAAAGGGGTTCCATATTGCACCAAAAGGGTTCTTCTATTGTTACAGGCTTGACATTATAACAATAGAAGAACCTTTTTGGTGCTATATAGAACCCTTTTCAAATGGGTTGTATATAGAACCATCTACAGCACATTCTCCATCAATATAAAGAACCATTTTATGATCAAATCCTTTAATCATGCAGAGTGTTCATGGTTCTATAAAGAACCATTGTCTTTACTAAAGAACTCTTGAGGAACCATCATTTTTAGAGTGTATATGAGAAAGAAAAAACATCCTTAGCCTTGGTGTTAGTTAATGTAACAGGATTATTATTATTATTCCAGGACCATTTCTGTTGGTCAGTGTATCAATCAGTTTTGATAATGACACTAATAATATACTGAGCAATATGAATGATGCTTTTGTTGATTGTGTCAAACACTAGTTCTTCTTTGTCTCCATCTTCAGAGTACAAGCGGTCTCGGCAGGAGATCAAGAAAAAGTCCTCAGACACTCTGAAGCTGCAGAAGAAGGCCAGAAAAGGTCTGTTTTACTCCTCCACTCCCTTCTGTCACCACAACTGCTGCTTCACTCTCTGCAGTCTGAACTGCAGTCTCAGCCCCTTCAGTTGTTGTGCTGTGAGGATTGATGTAGTCGCTATGCTGAGCATTATTAGAGTGCAATATGAGTCAGAGCTGTGGGCTCAGATCCTTACTGCTGGTTGGATGATTTAGGTTAGAGTCAGATTAAGGGTTACAGATGAAGGTCAGAGGGCTACAGCAGCCGGACGATAAACAGAATTGTGGACATTCTACTCACTAGCACCATCTGGTGGAGACACCACTCATTTTTAATCCAGAAAACGACATTAGGGCCAGAACTATTGATTACATAGGCGATCAAGTAATGTATGGATTATTTTGATAATTCATTTTTAAAATAGCTTTTAAAAAATTAACAAACAATAAATATGGACTAACTAAACAATGGCAAACCTTTGAGCTCATATCTGTACTTAATTGAGCTGCCTCAGTAAAGTATTAACTCTTTATTTTGGCCAAAATAGGGGTATTTTCAAGTGTATATAAAAATGAGTATTGTATTCTTTTTACTGCCTATATTACTAAATACTGTAATATCACACTGTATTCATAATTGTAAATGGTAGTGGGGAATTAAATTACACTGAATCAAGTCAAATTATGGTGAAATTTCATGATGCATCAAAAAATTTCCTAAAGAATAAAGTGATCAAGTATAATGAAGTAATTGTGACCTCTCTAAACTAAAACAGATTTGTTTTTTGCTTTTAGGAGTTAAATATTGAATATTTGTGCTGTTTTTTTGAGCTTATATCTGTACTGAATTATCCTGCTTGCAAATGCATTCGCCTGCATCTTTCTACACTTTTGCAGTCTTTTCTCTGTAACTCTCTTCATCTCACTCTCCTCTTCTCTCTCTTTCTTGGTCTCTCTTATGCTCTTGCTTGCTTGACCTGTGCACCCTATAAACCTTAGAACTCCCAGGTATGTATTTAAACAGTAGCTTACCACATTTCACTCAAGTCTGTAGACTAGACTCCATTTCATTTCACTCGAGTGATTTTATCTCTCTCTCATGTTTGATTTTTTTTTTGACTGTTGTCTCTGAAAAACACTTGTAATGCATGTTTCCATTTTGTACACATTGTTATTCTCTGTTCAAGGCACAACATGCTTCCATTTCATGAAAATATCCTACAATAGGGAACTGTGGGATCTTCTAAACATCGTGTTTGTGTGGATCCAACAGTTTGCATCTCATTGTCCATGTAACTGTCCTGATTCTTGTGTGACATCGTGTACTAGTGAAGGTGTTTCCTGCATGGAAGCCGACAATGTTCTATGGCTGTGTTGACCTTCTGCATCATAATCTGTTTTCATCAGATAGAGGGACTTCATGTGGAACATCTGTGCTGACATCCTCTTCAAACATCTCATGTGTACTCATCTGTCATAACTACCGCCTGATTGACCAGCTCATATTGCAGTTTTGTGGCATCTGTCTGTGCATGATGATTGAATTAGTGCTACGCAATGCACTGATTATGATTTACTTCCTCTTTTACTTCTAATCTGCTATTGTATCTCTCTCTCGCTCCCTCTCTCTTTCGATTTGTCAGGTCGAGGAGGGTTGCAGCCTCAGCTGGACAGCGCTATGCAGGATGTGAGTGACATGTACCTGTTGATGGAGGAGACGGAGAAGCAGGCGGTGCGCCGGGCCCTCCTAGAAGAGAGGGGGCGCTACTGCACCTTCATCAGCTTCCTACAACCTGTGGTGGTGAGTGCATGAAAAGTAGTGCAATATTACAAAAGATACAGCAGTAGTTCCATCCAGTACCGATATTGCTAACATTTAATGGAATTGTCATTAACCGCTGGCTACTAGTTTTCATTCATCGTAAGCCATGTTGTGCTATTCTTTTAATGCTGCAGGTCTTGGTGGGTGTATATAAAGTATGTGTGCTGATGATTTTCAGAATGGAGAGATTGCTATGCTGGGAGAGGTCACTCATCTCCAGGCTATTATTGATGACCTCACTGTGCTGACCACCGATCCACATAAACTGCCAGAGGCCAGTGAACAGGTGCTTTCCTAAACACACTAACTATTCATTTGAATCACAGATGGAATTTAAAGTGCACAGATGGATTGATTGATAATGAATGTTTGTAATCAATTATAATAATGTCATGTGCTTTTTTCTGGACATTGTTTTCAAATGTAAAAATATACTTGGTGTATTGTTTTTACTGTCTGCATTCCATTATTATGAAAACAGTGTAGTTACTTTGGTGAATTTACTGTATTTGTAAAATAGCTATATTTTACACAAATAATCAAATTGAATCAGAGAAAGTTGTTGTAAAATTTGAGAATCATAATCAAATCTCTTTGTGAGATCAAAGATTTACACCTTAACTGTGCATGCATTGGAAACATGCATGCATTAGGTACACACATACAGTGTAAAAGTCAGAGACTACCCTTCTTTTATATTTAATTTCCATCAAAATGGTAAAAATGGCAAGGTAATAACTTTTCAGGAGATTAGATACAAGATAAGGAAGTCAATAAAATAACTGGAGTTTTCAAAACTAGAGTTAAAAAAATAATAGAAGATGCTGAGAAAATGGGAACCTGATAGACCACCAAAACTGTCACCATAAGACAATAACAATAAAACAATACTTACAGCGTTCATCTTTGACAAATATTTGAGAAAATTCAGCTCCACTCTTGCTTCACATCTGAAAAAATCCACAGGTGTTTCTGTCCATCTGTTCATTAGAGAAGGCAATGCAATGCTATGAGTCTGAAAGGATGTTTAGCTGTCAAGAAACTGTTACTGAGAAAAGAAAAGAGACAAAAATGAAGTAAATTTGCAATCAAACAAAGAAGCTGCCAGTGTTCTCAGAACAATGGACTGACCACCCCAGAGTCCAGACCTCAACATCATTGAATGTGTTTGGGATTTCTTGGATCGTGAGAGGCAGAAAATGCAACCAACTTCTAAGACTGAACTTTGGAGATGTGGAAAAAATGGATTTCTTTGAAAAACTAAGAGCAAGTCTCCAAAAAAGAACAGAAGCTGTAATGAATGCAAAGCGTGGACACACTCAATACTGAAAAACTGCACATTATATTTGCTGTAAAATATTCAGTGAAATATGTTTTCTGCTTTTTCCTGAAATGAAAAACTGTACTTAATGGCAGTTCACCTGGAAAAAAATAAATGAAGGGTGGTCTCTGACTTTTTCACAGTGCTGTAGAACGATGTGATCGAAGTCTTTACCTGTCTCATTGATACAAAAGTGTAAAAGTCATCATAATCACACCCAGATTCTTTGCTGCTGGCAGTCTGGGTGAAGGAAACTGGCTGAATGAAAGACTCAAGTAGGATCCAGTTGAGAGCTGAACTTTGTTGCTGGCAGGAAAAAATTCCAAACTTGAAGTCAGTCCGACAGGGGAAAAACATCAGACCACCAGAGACAAGACTCAAAAAATACAAAAACCCATATATATATAAGGCAGACAAGGGTCAAAATCTAAAATACTTCTAGGAGAATCACAAGGCTCAGAATTGGCAGAGAGCACTAACACAATTTCATTAAGATCTTATGAAAAGAGTCTATATATAGATGAATGACAAACAGCATTCAGATGAGCAGAGTCAGCACACTAGAAGGAGAGAGCGACCTCTGCTGGTGACGAGGGGGTCCCCGGCTGAGGATGTGTCACTGGGTAAATTCTGTGGTTTAATAACCTTCCCATGTAACTTTGCTTTACTCCACCAGGTGATTTTGGATCTGAAGGGTTCTGACTACAGCTGGTCCTACCAGACTCCCCCCTCCTCCCCCAGCAGTACTGGCTCCAGGAAGAGCAGTTTGTGCAGGTGCTCATCTCATTACATCACTGATGTTTCATGCTGGCCTGAAGTTACTTTGGCTTAATCTCTTAGCAGGATTCATTCATTGGTTTCATTCATGCAAGAAAAGATGTTAATAGGGTGAAAATGTGTGGCACACCTGGCTAAGAGGGTTGTGTGAATGGGAATTAGCAATTACTGACATTCAGGGAGATAATTGGGCAAAAATCCAACAAAATGTGGGAAAAAAGCGTTCTGTATGTAGTTGTTCCTTTTGTCAAACCTGACCTAGAGTATGACTAATTAAGGCCTAATTAAAGAGGAATTCCACCATTTTTTTAAATTTCTGCACAATTAAACTGCAAAGATGTTGACATTCATAGTGGTTTAATGTGAAATGCACCATTTTGTGCATTTTTTTATATTTGTTAGTAGCAGAGAGGTACATGCAGAGCATTGTAAGGCAAAATAGTACCTAAAAAATATTTTTCAGATTCACCACTATTGTACCATTATCCATACTATACATAAAATCTCAGAAAACATGTGTAGGTTCAGTTTTCATTTTGACAGTAAATGAATTGGCAGTGACCTATCACCACTGGTTTCTATCACCACCGTTGTGAAGAAAATCTGAGTCTGTAAATTTCTCTCCAAAGCAGCATTTCACATCAGACCACTCTGAAAGACTTTATTTATATCATAATGACTGAATTATGCAGAAAATTTTAAACATTGTTGGAATTCTCCTTTAAGGCTTGATGCCTTATGTATTTTAAGTCTTCATTTAATCCTTAAACTCTAAAGGCCTGTATCTGGCCCACACTGAAGTTCCTCACTCTCATAACTGCATAGCTTACATACTAGTTTCCTAATAGTAACTGAATAATTCATAGTAGTCACTGAAAAATTAAGTTTTAAGATTATTAACAGAATAATGCATTTAAGTTTCAAAGGGTTCAGTTTACAGAAAGCTCTAATTTTTAATCTCTCTGTCTCTCAGTTTGGTGCATCTACCACCAGGTGGTGCACATCGCCTGAGCAGTGTGTCCTCTCATGATTCCGGATTCATCTCTCAAGATGCCAACATGCACTCCAAACCTCCATCTCCCATGCCATCGGACATTACCAGTCAGGTGATTTGCTATTGTATCTAATAATAACAGCATACAGTCTGTCTGTTTAGACTGACAATAACATTTTCTTTCAGATCCAATCAGAAAATGTATCCAGTCTGGGTTGACTGGCATTTTAACTTGCTACTGGACTCTGTAACATTATCCTCAAACCTCTTCTTTGCAGAAGTCATCCAGCTCTGCATCCTCTGAAGCCTCAGAGACCTGTCAGTCCGTCAGTGAGTGTGGATCTCCCACAGCAGTGAGTATTACAGCTTACACGGGCTGCAAGTTCAGTTCTTAGTGGCATAACTCTTGACATATTAAAATATAATTAATACAGTTTCTTTGTTAGTGCATTCACCCCATTTTAATCATTTCGCTTTTGCTTTAACTTTTGCTTTTTTCTTAAATTTGAACTCAGTCTAAGTTTAGTTTGCCTCAGTTTCACATGTCTACATTTATGATTTTGCTTCTAAGGCGGCTTCGTAGAGCTCAGTGGAGTCTGTCCTCCATTATCATTCTGACCATCTGATCAAGTTTCATTCCATCTCCACAGTTTGGCTCATCCTTCGCTACTTTCCGCCCTGCTCACTTTTACAATGGCTCCATCAGGCCTCTGTCTTTCATAGCTCCCGCGTCCCCATCCTTTAATCATTCCCCTGGATCAAACTCCCCTTCACCCACATCAAAAGTTCCTCACTGGAAGGTTTGTTTTCATTTTGACCACTTGGTCTCGTTTCATTTAAGTTCTTGCATTCTCTTTTTTTGCCTTTTAAACACGTTATTTGGTTAATCTGGTCTCATGCTTGTTTTTTCATTTAATTACTTGCTGTTTACCCTTTGTTGTGGTATTTTTTCCAGTCAGTATTTTTCCAGTCTGTTTCTTTTTATGATAGTGTTCAACTCTTGGCCTCTTATCATTTGACACAAATGATGGACTACAGACAGATCTATCTGTAGCTTGCTTGCGCAGCATCGTTCCAAAATGGTCTTATTTGTTGCCACAGCAGGACTGGGCTAAAGCAGCTCACTGTGAGCAGCCTGGCGCTGTCCCTCAGCGCAGGAGTGAGGCCGCAGAGCCCCCTGGTGGACCCAGAGGGAATGGTGTGGTGCACCCTGAGGACCCTTACAGGACCAGAGTGAGCCCAGCAAACATCACTGGAAAGGTGCATAAGATGTGGCTGAGGCACAACCCAAAGACAAATATGCTAAAATTAATGCAGATATTTATAACACAAAGTTTCTTAATAGTACACATAACTTTTTACCAGTGATCAAGAATGAAAAAATATAAAAAGTGCAAACATACAAGAGAAATAGCATAAACAATAAAAAAAATAGAAACATCACCATGGAACCTGGCCTGATTTTTTAAGTGGGTTAAAGAACTTTCCAAAGCCCATCATTGCATAAAATCTAGGTCCATCTCACATGTATTTTTGGGCCCTTATTCGCCAGAATTCTCAGAGGAGGAGTACTGATCTAGGATATTTTCATGTCTGCAGATTAATCATTCGACTTAAGAAAGAAATCTGAGCCTAGATGAGTACTCCTACTCTAAGAACCTTCTTGGTATGAATTTATAATCCTACTCATTTTGTTGTATGAAAATACAGTCACTTAATGTAACACGTAGGCCTACTTAACCTCTGCGTCTTTATGATGTTTGGTTTAAATCTGGTTTAACCAGTCAGGCTGTTTTCTTTAAACACTGACAAACTATCATAGGATTCTAGGCACTGCCTTATTAAGTGTACTGCCTTAGTTGGTGGTGCTAGTCTCCTGGTAATGGGGGCACTAATACCTCCTCAGATTTATAGAAAAATACTTTTCACAGTTCCTGAATAGAAATTTATTAGTACAAAACTCCTAAGACGTTTTCTGGCTAGGCCTGTCACAATCATGAAAGTTTAGCCAAAGCTTATTTGCATAATAACTAATTGCGATTAACAATTTCATATTTTTTGTTAATTTTATGCCCCTATTAAAGTGTGAGGCTGAAGTGGCCAAATTGAATGATTAGTGATTCTGTGGTGCTTTCTGTTGGAACTTTATAGCTCCCAACTTATGAGAGAAATAGTTTGAGCTCACATAAATAAACTTATCTCACTGTTGTCCTCTATAGGTGTTATTGCATTAGTCAGGTTTTTTGTTGTTTTTCTAAGCTCCATGATTTGTCTGAATAAAATTGCTTACATGTATTTGCCTCAACTGAATAAAATGCACCCAACTGACATTTTGTTTGTTGTGATGGAAACACATGATTGTAAAACTAACAACTATGGAAAATAATTGGGATCAGCAGCTTAAATAACTGTGATTATGTGGTTTGTTGTTTATTGTTCTTTATGTAATACTTCTAACAGGCCTGTTTCTGACTCTAAATGATGTGTTATTTTCCCTATTCTCTCTCTGTCTCTCTCTCTCTCTCTCAGCATGGTAAGCCGATGATGTCTGCAGCCAGTGAGCTGGCGATGGTTCTGACTCGTGGTTTGAGTCTGGAGCAGCAGAAGAGCAGCTGTGACTCCCTGCAGTATTCTAGTGGATACAGCACACAAAACACCACTCCATCCTGCTCTGAGGATACCATCCCCTCACATGGTAACCTCCCAACACACATGCACACACACACACACACACACACACACACACACATTCATCACACACACACACATACATCAAACAATATTACGGCCATATATCACAGTGCCAGTGATATTTAATTTTGGCTGTTTACTCAGGAATATAAGGTTTAAGAAGATGTCACCATTATTCAATAATATATTTTTAAAGTGTATCTAAAGGGACCATAGTTTTTTATTGTATTTTTGTCTCTTGAGGTTCACCTATAACATTACTGTGATTTTATTTACCAAAAAGAACATAATATATTTTTACACAACCATTTTCCAAACTCTCTTTATCGCTTAGAATTAAACAAACTATTTTTGTTCCTGTGTCTTTAAGGCTGATAAAAGATAAATGACCTCTGTTCTGTTGGCTTCCTCATTTAAAAAGCAGTGTGGACTGAAAAACTCTTTAAAACTTTAGTACGAATGGGTGGGGCTAAACTGCTGAAGGCTGTTTATGTAAATTAGTTGGTTCTTGTAATATCACAGAAACAGTAAATTCAAAACAGGCTGTTTTGCAGCATCCATGTCTGGACCATACAGACTGGGGAGTCAATGATACGTTTTTAAAGTTTAACCATGTTTTCACGTATTACTTCAAACTGCTTTATTTTAAAAAACGAGGAATTCGATTTTCCATGATATGAACCCTTTAACAGTTTACAGATCTGAGAAGAGAACGCTTTTGAGCAACGACACAAATACAAGACTGCAGATGCAATGCACATCAGTTAGGCAGGAAATCCAGAATTAATAACTCATAAAGACAGTCAGTGCTCATAATTGCCCCAATATCTGTCTGCAGGTTCTGACTATGATTGCTACTCTATGAACGGAGACGCTGACAGTGATGCTCAGACGGACTTTGATAAATCCTCCACTGTCCCTCGCCATAGCAACCTGGCCCAGAACTACCGTCGCATGATCCAGACCAAGCGGCCAGCAAGCACTGCGGGGCTTCCTGGAGGAGTGGGTGCACAGGGTTCCCCTGCAGCCAATGGCAAAGGAGCTTCAGGAGGAACCGTCATTTCTTCTGGGACAGCGACCATCCGGAGGACCCCCTCCTCCAAAGCTGGTGTGAGACGTGTCCCCTCCAACGTGGGTCCGATTCCAATCCGGCCTCCCATTGTTCCAGTGAAGACCCCGACTGTCCCAGACTCCCCTGGATTCCCCAGCCCTCCACCAGAGCACAATGGCAGTGAGGAGAGCCTGTACAGTGAGGATTCTCTGGAAATACTGGAGTACAAAGCCTCCCCCAAACGGATGAGCCTACCCAACCCTGCTTGGGGCTCAGGCATGAGCATATACGCCCACCAGCCTGGAGCTACGGCCCTCAGCACAGAAGAGGACCAGCTCCTGGCCGCAAACCGCCACAGCCTGGTGGAGAAGATTGGAGAGCTTGTGGCTAATGCCCACGCACTAGGAGAAGGTCAGTACCCGTTCCCCATGGATTCCCAGCCCAGCCGAGGCCACCAGGAGGACACCCCGCCCCCTACTGAGGGAGAGGACATTCTGAAGTCCATCCGCAGAGGGGTGCGTCTCAGGAAAGCTGTGTGCAATGACAGGTCAGCACCCAGGATCATGCGATAGCTTCACTCCTCACTGCCAGCCTGATTCATATTGACTCTGCAGAAAGAGGAATGCTTGTATGTATGTCAGAAAAGAATTGTAAAATCAGTGTTTATAAACTGGTGACTAACAAATGTCAGGCCAGTATCAGTGTAACGTGGTGAGTGTATATGGACACAATTCCCATATGAACTATTATTGTTGTAAGGATGCTGACAGCATCTATAGGAAAGGCACATTATAAAAGACTTCTTACAGCCTGACGGATGAGAGTATGTTTAAAGTGTGTATTAACATTCTAGTTGTCAGTTGTTCCGTTTGGAGTTTTGATTTGTAATTACTATGTTAATCATATGTTACTCATCTGTAACTGATGTAAAGCGAGTTTGACTAATTTCTCATCTCTCCAGGTAATCGCTTTGTAAAAAAAGCCGAAGTGTTTTGTTGTTGATTAAAACGCTGATGTGTTGAATGCAAATGGCACCACAGTAGCCTACTCACACTCAGAGGGACCACACGAACAAAGTACTGTAAATACTGTAAACTGCCAAATAAAACACGTCAAGTGTACCACAAGTCCCTGGACTAAAGAGTGATCTTTGTTTAAAGATAAGGTTCCTTTTCCGGCAAAAAACTAATAAATGGATCCTCAACCAATTCAAGCCTCAACTCTCACTTCAAATCCAGATAACCAAATCTTGGACAAATCTGTTTTGGAAATATTCTGGGAGTACCCATTCATTGGAAAAGACCTTTATGCTTGGTTGAAGAGTTAAAGTTAAAAGAGGAAGAGGATGATAGATACAGGGCCCTCCACAAATATAAGCATATGAGCAAAATGAGCTGTAAAAAATATTCTTAATTGCTTTTTCTTTTTGATCTTTAATTCAGAATATTAGCAAAAATCAAATGTTTATTGAAGGTAAAGTAATTGAAAAAAAAAAGTAAATCTTGTCATGAAATAAATATTCTTCTTAAATCTATATGTGCCATAATTATTGGAATCCTTAGAAATTCTTAAGAGTGAAGTATATTCCTATTCATATTTTACATCTGAAAGTTCACCTGAGTGATTAACACTTAAATGATCAGTCATGACTTCCCGATTCAGTGGGGAATATATATATATATATATATATATATATATGTATATATATATATTAGGGGTGGGAATCTCTAGGCACCTCACGATTCGATTCGATTACGATTCAGAGGGCTGCGATGCGATTATAAAACGATTATCAATGCATCTTTTTTTCTGTATAGCATTTATATTTTCTCACTGTGTGAGCTCAAGTTTCGAGTTCAAGTTTCAAGTTTATTTGTCATTTGCACAACATGTCAGGACATTTATGCATTGAAATGCTTGTGGCGAGGCTCAGCTAATCACTCTACAGAAAGTAAATAAGTAAAATTACAAGAAAAACCAACAGAAATGTATTAAATATACACAAAATATACACAGAATATAGAGACAATATACATTCTAAAGTGACTAAGTAACTCTGTGTTATTATTTAAAGTGATTTGGTAGTTTTAAAGCAAAGTATTTATAATGATCCATAATGAATTTGCTTCCAATATCTTTTTTAATAAAACAAATGGAAGTGATGTGGCAAGTGAACTAGAAGGCTCTCATTCAGTGCTCTTGTTTGGAGCACGAGAAGCTGCTGCTACTCATCTGTGATAAAATGCGCAGTTACGGTGAAATAAGATCCAGTGGTGATGGATGTCCACGCAGCACACGTTACAGCTATTCTACCCATTTAATCCAGTGATTTTATAACTTCGGTTTTGGTCTCGTTGTAGAGAGTGGGGCAGGGCAATCGCTGTGTCAGTAAAATGTCTTCGAGACGGGACGTGTGCAACATAGCGCGAAAGCCCTGCTTCGCAACGACTGAGGTCACATAGCAGCGATGCGTTATTCGCATTTATAAGCAGCACAGTTGGTTTCCTGGTACGTTAAATCTGCAAAGAGAGACTGTCACACACTAAAAAGTGGCGAAGCTGAAAACAGCTTCTCTTTCGAATTCTCCCGTTCCACCTTAAATGATGCCGCATTTACATTCGGCGCCTCAGTTAGAATTTAAGGTGGAACGGGTAAATTCGAACAAGAAGCTGGAGAATAAGAAGCGACTTCTTACTTCTGAGGAAAAGTTTTCTGGCGGAGATGGGAGGAAAGCGGCTGTAGCTAAAGCTTAAAGCAGAGTAAAGTAAATAAGCAGAGAAAAGGAAATAAGGAAACTAAACTAAACAGCTGAAAATGCCTATTTCCACTATCAAGGCAATAATTAAGAAGCTTAAAACAACTGGAGATATGAAGAATCTGCCATGAAGAGGACATATGTCTATACTGACCCCACACAGTATCTGACTAAATTGTCCAGGGCCTTGGGAAGTGATGCTGTGGGGCTGTTTTTCTTCCTAAAGCCCTGGACAGTTTTATTCAGATAGTTGGGATCAAGGACTCCATCAAGTACCATATCAAGTACCACACACACACACACACACACATATATATACAATTACATTCACACCTAGAGGCAATTTAGTATCTCCACTTTGCTGGATTGCATGTTTTTGACTGTGGAAGGAAACAAATGCACCCAGAGGAAACCCACACAGACACAGGAAGAACATGCAAACTCACTCAGAAAGGACCCTGATCACCCGGCCAGGGAATCGAACCCAGGCCCTTTTTGCTGTGAGGCAACAGTGCTACCCACTGCACCACCAAAAGTGAAATAAATAAACTCAAAACCTGACAGAGGCTTAAACTGGGCCATAATTTGGATCTTCCAGCAGGACAATGATCCAAAGCACACCTCAGAATCAACACAAAAATGGTTCACTGACCACAGAATTAAGGTTTTGCCATGGCCACCCCAGTCCTCTGACCTAACCCCCTTAGAAAACCTGTGGGATGAGCTGAAGGGGAAAGTCCACAGGGTGGACCTCAGAATCTGAAGGATCTGGACAGATCCTGAATGGAAGAATGGTCTTAGATCCTTTGCCATATGTTATCCAGTCTCATTAAGCATAATAGAAGACTCAGTGCTGTTATCTTTGCAAAGGAAGGCTACACAAAGGGTTAAATGAAGGGGTGCCAACAATTGAGGCACACACAGATTTGAGAAAAATATTCATTTCCTGATAAGATTTAGGTTTTTTTTTCAATCACTGTACTTTAAAAATGTTAGATTTTTGATAGTATATGAATAAAGGATCAAAAGGAGGGCACTGTAGATACAACTCAGAGGAATCATGAACAAGCCATTCAGAAGCTTAAAGACCCAAACGGAGGACAGGACATTCTGTTTCTTATGGTCGCCAGTAGTTGGAACAGACTTGGTGGCACTCGATGTTGGTGCAGGTGTAGAAGCAGCCAGCAGAGGGTGCTAGAGAATGCTTTTTGTGAGAATAGGAGAGCGTATTTATGCACACTGAAAATAAGGGGACACATCCATTTACTGCATTCATTGCAAAAATATCCATTTTGGTGCTATTTTTAATTTTAGCTCTATTGATCTTTGAGGCTTTTTACAGCAGCACTACGCTCTCAAAAAGATGTTTTTTCTAGGGATCTTTAGTAAAGGAAAATGGTTCTATATGGAACCATGAACACTCAAAAAGCGCTTTGCACAATTAAACGGTTCTTTGCATCATGAAAGCATTCCTCAGATTGATAGAAAATGTTTTGTATATGGATCTATATAGAACCTTTTAGAGAAGGGCTCTATGTAGCACCAAAAAATGGTTGTTCTATTGTTAAAAGCCTTACATCTTAACTTTAGAAGAACCCTTCAGAGTGCTACATACTCTCTCAGAAATAAAGATATGGAACTGTCACTGGGGCAGTATCCCTCTTGTCACTGGGGTGGTACCCTCAAGGGTACATCTCAGTACCTTTAGTCAGGGAGCATAATTGTACCATAATCCATTGCAATTATCTTTTCTAAGTTGTATTGACTCCACACACCCCGTCTCGTCTCTAGGCTTTTTATTTTATTGTTCAGTTTTAAAACGTTAGATCATGAAAAGGTACAAATATGTACTTTTCACCAGGAAAAATGTATTTAAGGTACACAATTGGACCTTAAAACCACTGTTGTACCTTTGAGAGTACATTTACACTTTATGAATGAACCTTTATTTCTAACAGTGTAGAACCCTTTTCAAAAAGGTTCTATATAAAAGCATAACACATTCTTCATCAATCTGAAGAATGATTTCATGATGCACAGAACCCTTTAATCATGCAAAAGGTTTATTGAGTTAATTTGAAGAAAACAATTGTCCTGTGTCATTCAGTTTGCCATTTAAATTACACCGATCAGGCATATTATTATGACCACCTCCTATAGGTGCACTTTATAGTTCCACAATTACAGACTGTAGTCCATCTGTTTCTCTGCATACTTTGTTAGCCCCCATTTACCCTGTTCTTCATTGGTCAGGACCCCATGGACCCTCACAGAGCAGGTACTGTTTGGGTGGTGGATCATTCTCAGCACGTGGTGGTGGTGTGTTAGTGTGTGTTGCACTGGTCTGAGTGGATCAGACACAGCAGTGCTGCTGGAGTTTTTACCTCAATGCTGGACTGAGAATAGTCCACCAACCAAAAATATCCAGCCAACAGTGTCCTGTGGGCAGCGTCCTGTGACCCCTGATGAAGGACTAGAGGATGACCAACACAAACTGTGCAGCAGCAGATGAGCTATCATCTCTGACTTTACAACTATAAGGTGGACTGACAAGGTAGGAGTGTCTAACAGAGAGGACAGTGAGTGGACACAGTGTTTAAAAACTCCAGCAGCACTGCAGTCTGATCTACTCGTACCAGCACAACACACACTAACACATCACCACCACATCTATGTTATGGCAGTGCTGTTTCTGATCCACCACCCAAATAGTACCTGCTCTGTGAGGGTCCATGGGGGTCCTGACCACTGAAGAACAGGGTAAAGGGGGTCTAACAAAGTATGCAGAGGAACAGATGGACTACAGTTTGTAATTGTAGAACTACAAAGTGCACCTATATAGTAAGTGGAGCTGATAAAATAGACAATGAGCGTAGAAACAAGGAGGTGGTCATAATGTTATGCCTGATCGGTGTAGTTTTGTACCTTGAAGTAATTGAACTATGTAATTCACATTTACACTATTTGTGCAAAAGTTTAACACCTGCTCATGCAACATTTCTTCTGAAATCAAGGGTATCAGTATTGAGTTTGTCTTCCTTTGTTGCAGTAACAACATCTATCATTCTAGGAAGGCTTTACATTAGGTGTTGGCACATTGCTGTGAGGACTTGATTGCATTCAGCCACAAGAGCATTAGTGAGGTCAGGTACCTACACTGTAGAAAATGGCTTGGCAGACAAACCTAAAAAAATACTTCATGTAGTAACAAACAATTGAACTAGTTTTATTCAACCAAAAAAATGACATTGAAAGAACCGTTCATTCAAAGTGTTTATTGCTGACAGTTGATCTGCCGAGCCATTTTTTACAGTGTATGTTGATTGATTAGTTCTGAATCTCCAGCTCATCTCAAATATACTGGATGGTGCTC